ACAGTGGGGGTAAGGTGGGTTGAGTTATGCAGGAAGACGAGGTAAAAGAAGGGAGGGCAAAAGAATGATAGTACACCTGTCAAAACATTTAAAATTATAACGAGCAAAGGAGTGGTACATGGTACCGTCGCCTCAGCGAAGGTCACGTGAAAGTGAAGGCCTCTTTGTGCAGGACAAGCGGCCTTTGTCTGCAAGTGTATCAGTGAATTTTAGTACAATATATTCTAATATATGAAACTCGCCACAACATCTGCCATTAACAAATCAACAATTTTGTCAAGTCCTTCAAAGCAACTTTGACTATATAAAAATACATTTAATCACATAAATTCCTTATACTCTTTAAAAAGCGGTATCTTAGGGCTGTGTGGATCCCAGTGACGGTATTGAAGATGTCAAGTAGCAGTCGAGTTATAAAGAAAGTTGCAATTAAACGTGTGACACGTTGGTGATGTGACTATAAATTAGGTTAATTACCTGCAATTTCAGATATTACAGAGAACTAAGAACCTTAATCTCGCTTTAATATAACCATAATAGAGACTGGCCTTCACATCTCACCTCCAGTCACTGTCATTTATCAACATTTATCTAAATTAGGTTCCATCAAAAGGACCAGAGGAGATTTGTAGTGAGGGAGTGGTGTGCCGTTGGTTAAGAGTAGTTTTCTGACACTGAAAAATGACTAGTGAATAATAATCACTCAATAAATCACTGAATCACACTTTTCAATCCTGGTTCTAAAGCTTCTGCAAAATGGTTTGTGTAATGGTTCTGGTTTAGTTTCTTAGGGACAACTGCTACAATTTCTAGGGGGTCCATCACTGGTGGGATAACTCTGATCATTCAGATAAATGATTTGTAAAAGCACAAATCATTCTGTTTTAGTCTAAGTAACGTCATCGAAAGTTAGCTGTCCCCAGATAATATGCCGATGTGTATCAATAGTATTTGGCTCTTTATTAGAATTCAAAGAGCAGAATGGGTCATTTGGGTTGCCAGTTTGTTAGATGAAATGTATCTGGTATTAGCTTGACAAAAAACACCAGGTGCCACAATGGGGCTGCAGCTGTCGCTGTGTCCTTAGGCAAGACACTTCACCCACATTGCCTAGAATGAGTCTGGTAAGTGTGTGAATGGCTGGTGGTGATCGGAAAGGCCGATGGCACATACTGGTTGCCTCTCTTCTGCCCCGCAGGGCCGCTATGGCTACAGTAGTAGTTTATCAGCCCCACCGTGTGTCCTGAAAAGCAATGCATTATTATTGCAAAGGAAGGTTTCTCACCCATTATCTGTACTTCTCAGCAGGTTTTCCCGACGTTTTTTCCTTCATCTAAAGGACTTCTTCAAGGGAATGAGATCTCAGACTGCGCGTTGGAGATCTGTAACCTATGGGTGTGGTTAGCCTCAGCTAACTCATTAACAAACTATCTGTCTGTTTGATGTAGAATGGAGCAGGTCTAACGACCCTGCTACGGCTAACGAGCCGAACACATTAGCATGTCACAGACCTATTGTCTGCTGAGATTGCTGGAGTGGAGTACAGGTCTCCCCACTCCTAAATCATTAGCACATCACTGACCAATCTATAGTTAGGGCGTTGTTTTTAGGACGTCGTCATAGATGAGTCCAAACAAATATTAACCCGCCTCCTCTGTTAAGAGAAGGTTTGTATTTCCTCACAAAAATGGCTCCTTTCACCCCTCTCTCAAACCAATTTTTATCTCGAGCCAGAATTTTAACCTCCGTGTCTTTCATGGTGTGGTTGGTGGCCTTGAGGTGGAGATGACCAGCTGATTGTGGCCCACTAGAGTTTTCTCTACGATGTTGGTAAAGTCGTTTCTGTAGAGTTTGTTTAGTTTCTCCAATATAGTGGTCAGTGCACTCCTCGTCACTACATGTAATTGAATACACCACATTGCTCTGTTTGTGTCTGGGTGTTCTGTCTTTGGGGTGCACCAATTTCTGTCTTAGCGTGTTGAAAGGTTTGAAATACTGTTGTCAAAAAATGATTTGACTGGCGTGTTCAGAATTTGGTACAGAAATAAGGCCAAGATTTCAAGAGTTACAATAGAACATCTATTTCTCTTTACAATTAAATGTTGATACAGAACTCTTGGAGCTATTCCCTAAATCTATCCCTGTGCTCCGACTCCTCACAATGTGTCCTCCCCACAGTTTTATCAGAATGTCCGATGACGTCATAGGGTCTGAGGCTGGTCCCAGTCTGGCCTAGTCCAGTTTTGTGTCTCAGGCCTTGTCCCGATAAGAGAGACACGCTGTTCCTGAAAATGATACTTTTATCACAGAAGCCTTGTCCTTGGTGCTTGTCTGAATTCCACTAAATCCAGGCTTAATATTGCACAAAGACATGTTATACAAACACCTACTTAAAATCATTAGTATACAACATTTTAATTCTACAACAATACACAGGGATTTTGTGTTGCCTAAAGATTCTTTGTAGTTGCTCTGAAACTCAAGCCACATAAGGTAAGGGCACTCCTCTCCTCCTACTTTCTTCTGTTTGTTAGACTGTGTCTCTGGTCTTTCTTGTCCTTTGGGCTTTAATAAAAGACCACTTGGGGTAGCCACATCTGGAAAGTGCTCTCTGAACATGTTTGGTTTCTCTGTCCTTGGAGTGATGATAACAATAATAATAATGGAGAGAAGGGCGGGGGGACTGGTGTGTAGATCATTATTTATAGATCTTCATATTACATTGATTTATATTGATATTTACTCGTGGGTGTAGTCGAGTAGCAAGCCCCAAGCCAGGCGTGCTGGTCTCTCCAGTCTATGATCTCTCCTGTCTATGGTCTCTCCAGTCTACAGTCTCTCCTCGGGGCTGCACTGGTCTCTCTCCCACTTGGACCCTTTCCCTGCGGTCTGTGCTGGATCTCCTCCCAGGGTCAGAATATTTTTTAGATTAATCTCATAATATTTTTATCTTAATCTCATAATATTTTTAGCTTAATCTCATCATTTTGCTAGTTTGACTTTATTCTGATAAAATTTCGACTTTAATGTCAATTTATTATAACTTTAATCTCAGTCTGGCAAAATAAAATAAAAGGGTGACCCTTTTGCTCCGTGTAACTCTTTGTTTTAGGCATATTGCTGTTTCCTCTGGCGTCTGCACACATCCCTGCAGTCCCTTTTATGGGCATTAGTGGGCGGTTACCTTTGCTTATGACTCACGCTCAATTTACGAAACCTAAGAGAACAACTCTCATAGGGTCTTCTTAGATTTCTTCTTAAGAATGGCTTAAGAAGAAATGTGAGAAGTATTGGTGAATGAGGCCCATTGTTATTCTATTCTGTCCCTTGGGATATTGGGAAGATATATCTATGAATACAGTATATACACCATACATCTAAAAGATTAAATGCCAAAATATAAAAAAAAATGAAAAATGTTAAAAGAACAACAAGAAAATGTATTTCATGAACACAGCCTTAATTGTTCTCATCTTTAAGTAAGTAAGTAAGTAAGTAAGCTTTATTTATATACCGCCTTTCACAGACCAGAGTCACAAAGCGGTTTACAATTGTTATTTTTTGGGCACTTGTCCTCTCACTCCACACAGAGATGGGAGCGGGCTTTATCTTATAACATATCTTATACTATATTTTCCAGCCCAAATCAATACTGATATCCAAAGTTATGATTTACTTCCCACCAATGCAAAAAGTGGTACAATGTATTCAAACAGGATTGTGTCTGTGCTGGTCCAAAGTGCTGCTCAAAGAGTCGCCGTGCACAAAATTATAGCACCCAGACGCAGCCTACACTTCAAAGTTTGTTTTGCCTTGAAAATGCTCCATTGCAGCAACACAAAGAGTATTGCTGTTGCACTGTGATATTATGACTACTCTCGGATTAGATTGCATTGGTGAATTTTTTTTGAAGCGATATGGAAATTTGGCATACATTTGTGAGGGCGATAAGATCATTTATTTTTAAGAGTTTTTGTTGTTGTTGCTTTTTTTCAACTTGTAAAAGTTACTGCAATACAGTGTTGATGGTT